AATGATGGCTTTAAAATTTGGCTCAAAACATAGGAATTTTGATTTTTTTTCGGATAATTTTAAAGTAGTTTGATTTTAAAAAAAAAAATTGAACCTGAGACACCATGACAGGGGGCAAACTTGAGGCCATAACACCTGACTGCCTAGGGCAATCTGCCCTAACTTTACTGCCATGACTTGAATGTTAATATGATACAAGAAGCAGGAGGCTGCCCTTATATTACCCCAATGCAAGGGGGCACTATCCATGGCTCCGTACCCTCCCTACACCATGGCCCATGCCTTGCAGATGGCATCCAGATTGTGATTACTCCCCAGTCTGCGGCCAGGGCAAATTGAGCCCTTCATTGGGCTCCATTCACGCAGGCACTCACTCCGCACCCCGCCTCTCACTTGGGGTCTCTTGCACTCCTCCCTCTTCTCACAGGGGCCTGTAACATACTGCCCATCACTGGGCCACACTTTACCACCTTTGATCCCTTTGAGCGGCCCCTTCAGGTCATGAGGCTTCACTACTTGTACTTTGGCAGGACACACGCAGCCCTTCAGTTCCGTGGAAGTCCTGTACTCTACATGGCCTGGCCTTTATGCCAGATACTGGGCTGACTCTGCCCTGGGCCTCTCACCAGGCCTTGACTCTGTTCTCACTAGTGGAGTTGGCCCATGTACTGTCCTTCAGGCCACTCTTGCAGCCCTACTCTGCACCCTACACACGCAGTCCTTCAAGTGCCCCTTTTTTGCACCCTATGCTGCACAGGCCTTCTCCATAACTCTTCCCGACAATATTGCCCCCTCTGGGACCCTTTGCCCCTGCTGAGCTCAGATGCCTACTAACAGGTGCACCTGGCCCCACTACTCCCACAGCTCTCACAACTACCCACCGAATTGGTGGGGGGCAGGGTTAAGGTGCCCCTACCTGCCTTTCACTGTTGGGGAGTAATTGATCTAGTATTTCTTGGGGGTGTCCTGCCACCGTCAGCCCCACCAGATCCCCCTTACCCAGCAGGTTGTAGTTTTAGGTCATACCCAGGACCAGGAGCCTCCAAACCACCCCCATAGCTATGCCTTTATCTTTAAGATGTTCCTGAATTATAGCTCAGCCGGCTGATGATTCTCTCTCGGCTGCTGGCAGCAAACTGCTGCCTCACCCTATATAAACTTGGTCTTGGAAGTTTATGAAGTATTGGTGTTCGTAAACCATGCCTCGTACATAATGTTTAAAGATGATAATCCCGAAGAAGCAGGATTTGGTGTGACACTCCATCTGGGCTGCATGTGGCATTTAACAGTGATGTTATCAGCTATGGCCAAAAAGGCTGACTGCCAATAATGCTAATTTTCCTTTTATTGGTGCTGATCCAGTATGCACCAATATATTGGTGTATCTCTACTGTGAATCCTTCCTTCCTCATGTTTCTTCCTCTTCTGGTGCCTCTTCAGTCACTTAAATTAAATGGAATTTTTAATAATCCTTAATTTATTCAGGAGGCAGCCCCTGGCTGCAGGGTGTACATGTCCCAGCCCTAGCCAGGAAACTGCTTTCTCCTGGCCTGATGTTCCCTGCCAGCCGCTGGCACCCAGGGGTAGCATAGAGATCCCCTGGTGGCAACAGGGCCCCATTGCAGGGCTTCAGGAAGTGGGAGAAGTTTTGCTGCCATTAACAGCTAATCTGCTTCCACTTCCCTGCATGTGTAGATGCCTATCTAGGAGCATTTACTTGCGAGGATCAAATGCATGTGTAGACACGCCCACAGTTACTTTAAAAAAAAATTGTCAAGTAACACTGACTCAATTGTATATCTTTCTCAGATTGTTGCAGAAAGATGCTCTTAATTTGGAAGCCATAAGAATGGAAGCTCTTCATTATCTTTGTAGAGAAGGAAATATAACTGAGGTGAGTCTTTTCATATCAGACTTTTCAATCACTGAAAACTTTAATGGTCCAAAAAAAGATTATATAATAAAGGATTGTAAATATGCTATGTCAGCTAAGTTAATATTAGAAAATGAGATGGGGCCAGCTTTTGCTTGCAGTACCCTTTCAGCACCATAGATTTTTTTTTTTTTTCTAGGACAGATGATCACAGTTTATTTGCAGTATGCCACTGAGTAGGAGGAAGTCAGACTGAATTTCCTATTCTCTTTTTGTCCAGTGAGTTAATTGTATGCAACTTAGGGATGCACTGATTTAAAGATTTTTTTTTTGGCTGATACTGACGGCCAATTATTAACCAGACATATCGGCTGATACCGATCCAATAGTTGATATGCAGCCCAGCAGCTTGAAGAGCAACATTTGGCCAGTAAGTCTTTGTGGGGGAAGGGGCAGGGAGGAGGGAAGGGGCATGGCAGGGGTAGATCAAGGCCCTCGCGATAAGGGATGGAATGAGGATGGGACAGAAGCAGGAGCAGGCGTTGCCCAGCCGGGGTGGGGAGGGGCGCAGGACAGAGTTGTGTGTAGCTTGTGTCTGTGGGCTGGCGATGGGGGTGGCTCCTGTTGCTGCATGCACCCCAGGGGAAGGGGGGCATGTGCACTCAGGACAGGCAGCAGCAGCACTGGGAGGGGAGGGCTATGGCAAATTTTGGGGCGGCTGTAGCCCACCCCTCCCAGTGTTGCCCCTGCCTGGTTCGAGCGCAGACCCTGCCCACCAGAAAGAGGCTGGCACAGCCCCTGGCCCCAAGCCCACAGAAAGCAGCCCACCCTCACTCCATGCACAAATCTGGAGGGCACATGCCCTCCCATGCCTCCCCTGGGGCTGCACGTAGCAGCAGGGGCTGCCCCTGCTCCCTGTGCCCCCCAGTGAGCTACCCACGGCTCTATCCTTGCCCTGTCCCACCCTGGCTGGACAGCACCTACCCCAGCCCCATTCCTTCCCTCACTGTGAGGGGCCCTCGAACTGCCTGCTCCTCCCTCCCACAGACTTACCGGCTGGATGCTGCTTTTCACATTGCCTGGCTGCATTCCTGGCTGCATGCATGCTGTGGCTGTGTGCATGCACATGGCATTTATCAGTGATGTTATTGGTTACCCCGGCCAAGAAAAGCTGTTTGCCGATGATGCCAATTTTCCTTTTATTGGTATTGATCCAATATGCACGGTTATATTGGTGCACCTCTACTGCAAATCCTTCCTTCATCATATTTCCTCCTCTTCTAGTGCCTCTTCAGTCACTTTATTAACAATTCCATTTAATTTATCCTTATGAGACTCTCACTAAGGATTTTTATATGTTATTCTATTACCTCACTTTTAGGGGAAAATGTGCTTTTATACAGTTAGCACAAAGCAAATTCAGTTACATAATTACATAGAAATGCTAGCCTAGATCTGTTTTAAATGCCAAAGGGTCTCATGACAGATAAATAAAAGCGAAGTGTTGTATATTTAAAGGGAGAAATATTTTATGCCATTAGTGCAGTTCTAAATAAAGTAATTTAATCATTGTATAAAGCTGTTAGCACATCTCTAAATAAATAAGTATGAAAAGCTGTAATGGAGCGTTTTAATATGTTGTGACAGAAGCTAATGTGAACATCTTATAAGTCCATGGATTTTGGTGCATCTCCCAGTAACCAGAGAAGCAGTACATCATCATAATATATCTTCTTATCTTCATTTCTTTTTAAAAGATTTTTACTCCCAGTAGATGTTTCACAGCTGCATAACACGTAAAAGTAGTTAACATTATTGCTTTGGCCATTGCAGTGCCATCCAATAAAGCTGGGATTAGTATAACTTTAAATAAAGTTTTCAGTTATGAATTTAGGATTTTGAGACACAATCCACAAAAGGATGTATACCATTAGATGGGACTTAGGCACCTAAACCCAGTCCAGTCTAGTGAGCCTTAAAACAACTTGCTCAGCTGTTACCTGACTCCAAAGGTGTTTGAAGTCTGTTGGTGCTCTTTTGTGCACACCTGCTCTTAATGTTCCTGAATGTTATCCAGTGACTCTATGCCAGAATTCATAAAGCATATCATGGGCAGGGATCAGAAGCCATAATTTCCCCCTTTCCTAGGCAAGTACTCTTCTTGCTGAACTGCAGACTTCAGTCTTTCTGCCACTCTGCCTGCTTCTTTCCTTACAGTTGCCCAGCTTTTATAGAAGGGATTGCTGGTGCCCTCTCTCCAGCTACATTCACAAACCTGGGAATTTAGGGTGTTGTCCTGTGGGGAGGCAGTAGCAGTCTCAGCAGGGCCTGGAACCCAAGCTCTTGCTTTGTGGTTGAGTTCTCTAACCACTAGTCTGTTGTACAAAATGAAAGCATCATCACTGCCCCCAGTTTTAAGTGAAACTAAATGCTGTCAATGCATGTTAAGTCTGCTTAGAATATACCTCTCAGGTTAGGCCTTTTAGAGCACTAAGGCTCAAAAATACTTTGTCAGTCCTAAATTAGCTTTAGGAGGGGTTGAACAACTCAAACAGTTGTTTTGCCAATGTAGCAGTTCAGGGTGTGCTCAGTAGCTGAACTGAGCTGAAAACAGGCACTGGTGGCGTTTTAGGCAGTGGGTCACTAACTTGGACGTAGGACCCTAAGTTCCTTTTAAAATGCAACTTAAGCATTTGGGTCCTTTTTATGAATCTGTCGGAACTTCTTTGGCAAATGTTACCTTTTATTCTTCCATTTTATAATTTGAGGACCATTCCTTTGTGCCTTTTCAGTATAAATGATTTTGGCTCTAGGTGGAATTGTCTTGCATATAAAAGATGCTTATTGATATTGCTGAGCAGTTATTTTAAAAATCATTCTTGGATGTTGAGGAACAAGCCCAGGGAACCATGCTGGTGTCTGTATCATCCAGGCTGATTTTATTTCCTGGTCCCTTAAATGTACAGGTCTAGGTTCTGGTTTATACTTGTTTAACTGAACCTTTGCTGATTGGGCAGCTTCAGAGTATTTTTCTAACACTTGAACACTTGTTTTATTAGTTTGAATGTCCAAAATACTTTTTAATCCTGGAATCGGCCACAAATCCATTAAGAAGATACTTTTGCAGCCTTGTATTTGTTGGGTTACATTCCACTTCCATGCTTCCATTTCTTTTAGGCTACAGCCAGGCTGGGAGACCTAATTCATGCACTGGAAAAACTTGAACCGCATAATCCTCAACTATTTTGTAAAATGGCACTAGCTTTCAGCAGAACAGTGAGTATAATTTTTTTTTCTTTAATGAAAATGTCAGTAACAATCTGCCAGTGGCAAGCCAGAACTGGTTGACTATATTAGACGGCATTTTAATTTGAAAATTCAGTGGAATGGTAGAAATATCTGAGATGCTCATTTACCAGTCACATTTTGTGCTGCTTATATGGCTTCTTGAATAACAGCATGAAGCTGAGCAGTCTTAATTTCATTTTCCTGCTTCTGCTTCCACTTGACAAAGCCATGTCAATGGCATTGGAGCTTTCTGTCCACACATTTAAGGAACCAGCAATAAAGTTTTTTTTACATTTGGAACGATAATTTGACACGGAATAAAAGTCTAATTCTTCTATTCTAAATTAAAATTGAAATTCTACCATGGATAAATTGGATTACAGAGCAATCGTGAGGAAAAAGTTCCCACTTGCCACTGGAGAATGAGTTTTTTGAAGTTTAGGTAAGTGGATGAAAGCTAAATGATGTTGCCAGAAACTTAACAATAGCATTTTAACAGAAGTGAAAAACAGTGAATATATGAGCATTTTTGTTCTTATTTAACATCTTTAAGCATTGTTCTGCTTATTAACAAATGTGAGATTGGATAAAATGGCTCCATTCATTCAACATTTTACAGGCAGTCATGACTTTTCATGTCTATGTAGGAGAGACTTATTCCATGCAACTGAAAGCAAATACTATTGACAGGTCACAACTGTTTCACCTCCTTGTTACATGGTCATGTTATGTATCTTAGCCTTGGTTGACAGAATTGCTTACGCAGAAGCCAGTTCTATAAAGATCATTGCACAATAACTAGGGCCACATATACACAGTAAAATTACTGTCAGCAGTGCTGCCTTGAAGGATGTTGTATTGCTTAGCAGTAGTTGTCTCCTAAACTGGAATATTTTATCCAAATCTGCACAGTACTTCTTAATTTGTACTTAAAGGAAAGATGTGTTGGTATTTATTTCCTAAAACCAGCTCTGAGCATACGTTTGCTAGAAATCAATGACTGTAAAAGAAAAGGCATTATGTTCTTTTTGATCAAGATTCAGTGCCACCATTTGAAATCAGAAGTGCATCTTCATTTAAAAAGTCATGATATATTGCCTAAATACCTTGAAAATATCATTAAACAAAATGTAACTGAAAGCTTTTAGGTGTAAAACTATTCTTGCTTTTAGTGTGGCCGGAACCAGCTCATCCTTCAACAGACTCAAACCTTAGTTGAAAGAGCATTTGGCTTGGCGTCACATGATGCAGAAATTGCTACAGAACTTGGTTATCAGATGATTTTACAAGAAAGAGTCAAAGAGGCTTTAAAATGGTATAAGACTGCTATGACACTTGATGAGACGAGTGTTTCTGCATTGACTGGTATGACCTGATACTTTTTCCTTTGCATATCTTTTTTTTTTTTAAGTAAAAAAAGGCATGGAGAAATCCTTTTCTTTGATCTGTTTATTGACTGTTGGTACAAATAACACCAAGGGCACTAGAACAGAAAGATCAGTTGCCCCTGGCCATAACCCCCATCTACCTTAGAAGCTGGGGGAGGGTAAGCCCCCCTCGTCACGTGTCTGTTTTGACATCTCGCTCACCCTCATTCAAATAGCGATTTCTGAACTCTGGATAAGAAGGGTCACTTTAGCAATAGGTAGAGAATGAATAAAAAAAATGATGTGGAAGCAAATCTTCCATGCTGTAGTATCACCTATCCCTGACCTACAGTTAGTAGAGAATAGATGAAAGTAAAAATTACAAGCTATGCTAAGAGAGAGTTTCTTTATTCCCCTTTAGGGAAATAATTTACAATTTAAATAAGGCATTTGTTGATTTTACAAGTCTCCTTTCTTTTAACACTTAATTTACTCTTTTGAATCGTGCTGTGTGCTTTCATATCTGTGAAGATTGGATTTCACTTTTCCACTAACCTGATGCAATATTTTTGTAAGCCTCCTATAAAACCTGGCCTATTTTCCCCCAGCTCCCCCCGTAAAATCTACCTCTGTTCAGGTGTTATTTTGGATGTGTTAGGGAAGATAGCATGTTGTAGAGTTTTCAGTCCTATGCAGCTTCTGCATCTGGTGAGGTCAGTGGGTTATCCATCTAAACTCTTCTTTAGTCAAGCTACAGTTGCATGCTGACTGTAGCCTAAAGATTGCACGTTTGAGTGAGGGTGAACTTTGCGTATTTGCATCTTGTGCAAGTCCACTGACTTTTGCAGTGTTGCATTGGCATCAGTGAATTAAGCAAAATAAGAAAAGCATACTGGGAATATCCTGGATTTTGTAATACATGATGAATTTGAAAGTTTGTAACACACTCAGTTTAAGTAACCTACATTACCCCAGATCAAGCGTAAGGAGTGTGCTGGTAGAGATGAAAGGAGAGTTTTCATGAAGGATAGTCATAGCTGTAGAAAATATATGTTGGGCTATGTATATAAATTCTGATTTATCATTACACATCTTGTTCTTGTATCTTTTTTCTCCTCTCCATTGTCATGTGAACAGTGTGTAGTGGTTATAAAGGTGAGCCTGAAGTTAAATGTTTTATTTTGTTACAGGAATTATCCGTTGTCAGCTAATAGAAGGACAGTTGGAAGATGCAGATCAGCAGTTGGAATTTCTTAATGAAATTCAACAAAGCATTGGGAAATCTGGGGTAGGAGATGTCTTCCTTTACTGAAGTACTGAGATTCTAATTTGAAGTGGTGGCCCTGTTTAAATGACTTTTCAACAGCCTTTCTCTTTGAGGCAGAGCTTTCTTAATGGAGCTCCATAACTCTGGAATTTGCCTCTTTTTCTTTCCACCAGACAAGGGTAGCATGTTGGGCTCTGAAGCAAGGGCTGTATGTTTGTTCAGGATCTTTCTGAGAATGTGCCTGGAATAGAGCGACAGGCTTTTTGTATTTTATTTGGACATCTTCCTTGTTGGTGGTTTTGACATTGACAAGTTACAGTGTTTGTGTGTTGAAAGAGATTTATGGTTGAACTATGCAAACCTCTTTTGCATGCATTTTAATGATCACCTTAAATGTTTTAATCATATTGTGTGGCTGAATGTTACAAAATATTCCCAAGTATAGGATATACAGTGCTGACTTTTTAGTTACTGCAGTGCTGGATGCTACTACTACTGATAATAAATATAACAACGCTAAAAAGTAATGCAAGTGATTGTTGCTGTAAAGTTGAAAATGTCCTGTTTGTTTTGTAGGAACTGTCTTTTTTGCGTGCAGTTCTAGCTATGAAGAAACATAAAAGACAGGAAGAGGTTATTCACTTTTTGAATGATGTTCTGGATACTCACTTTTCATCTTTGCATGGCTTACCTCTTGGTGTAGAGTACTTTGAAAAACTGAACCCTGATTTCTTGCTAGAAATTATTAGGGAATATCTAAATTTTTGCCCGACACAGGTAAAGTAATATTAGATTTCTTATCTCTCAAAACTGCTATGTGTCTTGTATTCCATTTTTTATTTCCTTTTACCAATTACAAATAAAAGGGATTTTTGATAACTACCCAAAATATAGAATTTAAATTATGAAAAACTATGCTCAAGGCATGTTGCATGTCAATTGGAATAACCACACATACACTTCTCGTTCCCTCTATTTTTATACCAGTTTTATTTGAAGAAGGTTTGAGGTTAAGTCCAAGGTGACACAAATGTATCTCTAATTATTTTTTCAATAATCTGTTGACTAGGGGAATATAACAGATATAAATGAAGACTAAGTAGTGATCTCAACTACATGCACACAAATTTTGTCTGGATGGGACACATTTCCACTTGTGTGTTCCTTCCTCATTTCTGTCCTATTTGTACTAGTAAAGCTGTATAATCACATTTCTGCTTGTTGTTTATCTAGCATGTGAATTAGTTTTCCTTGACTGAGGTTGCCGTCCTGTTGTTCCTGGATGACAGCAATATTTAAGATTTTCTGGGTGTCTACATGTGCATCTTAAAGCGCAGTAGCTTATTTTACTGTGCATTGGAGCATCACGTTAAAAACTATGCTAATACACTAATGTACAGTAAAATTTAGGTTACTGCACATTAAGCATCACCTTAAAAGCTTGCGTTTTTGCTGCTGCACATTAGGGTAGCCTAATGTGCATTTATTTAGTACCTCACATTAGAGGTACTAAATTTAATGTGCAGTAGCAAAAGCGCATTAATGAATGTGTAGTCGTGCCATCTAGGTACCATCAAAAATACGGTAGGGACCTTAACATTTGGAAGTTAAAATATTTTACTAAGTGCTATCAATAGAGTCTTTTGCAATATTTTCTTTTCCATCTTAAGTCTGTTCCTTTTTTGAGGAAGAGTAACTATTTTAATTACCTTTGATATTATACAGTTCAGGTGGCTTCCAGCATACTCTGACAGTTAACTTTAGGTTAGTCCTGTAATAATTAGCTTTGTATTATTTTAATGTCTTACAGCCACGTTCAGATTGTATAGTAATGTAACTGCCCTACAACAGCTTAAATCAGAATGAAAAGATGAAGTTAAAGTCTAAAAGAACAATGATAGTTGTAGCCTCTAACAGGACTACACAGTGAGAGAGATGGTGCAAACAAGAAATAAATCCATGTAAGCAGCATTTTTTATATGAAAAGGTTGAATTTTTTTATTTAAAAAAAATCCCATTTTGCTGTGTGGACAGCTGGAATATTGAAAAGGCAAGAAAAGATTGTTACCCTGCAAACTATACTTAGAGCTGAAATTTTAAAATTGTTTTCTGAAACTAGTTGGTGGGGGTTGTTTTCCAGAAAAATATTGTCAACAGCAATTCTGTCTCTGACAGTAAGAGAATCAAAGATGTATGAAAACTAGTGGCCAGACTACTTCTCCTATAAGAAAATCTCTAGGAAAGGAAAATGGCTGGCAACCGCAGGGAGCTGCATCCTCCCTTGGAAAGGAAAGAGTCTATGAAGTTTAGTAAGGAAGAAAAGAGTCCAGTTTGTATAAGCCACCCAGGTAGATGTTTTGTTTGTAGAGGATTTCTGCTTCCCTGCACCATAATTTCTAAGGAAGTCATTCAGCCATTAAAAGAATTCACTCCAGGCCCACACCTATGAGCATATACTACAGCTGTTTTCTTGGGTGTGGCGGAGGCTGACGTTATACAGGGGAATAAATGCTGCTCTTTGTTTGATTTGTTAGATGTTTATTCTGCCATATCCAAAAGGCTCAGAGTAGCTTACAATAAGCAGACAAGTGCCAGATAGGATTCTCCAAACAATGCCCTAAAACCCAAGAATCCATATCCCCAACGACTGTCTCCCTGTTCCAACCCCTACAGAAATGGGTTTTAATGTGAACCTTTAGAAATAGTCTTTTAAACACCCTGAAACATCCAAATCCTTTACATAAACTAAGAATTGTGTAAGATAACCCAAAACACTGTGACTTAGATAGTACAGGTAACTGACAAATAAAGGTTAGTATTTTTATCTGGTGTATTCCATTATGGTACTAGGCCTATTTAAATTTTATGTGGAGTTTCCTAGTTTAATTGTAAAACCTAGAGATGGTCATGCCTTGGAGCATGTTGCAGAGTCCCTATTCACATGGACAGACATCCATGAACTAGAGGAGTTGGGGGGTGGGGGAAGTACAGCCAATCTACCCTTCTCTCAACTTTCTATTTAATTTTAACTTTATGTACCCAACTTGTTATCACTGTTTGGAAACATCAGGTGCTGATGCCTTGGATTGAGCTTACATATGACCATATGATTCTGATTTCACTTTCCCCAGTTCTTTACTGACCTAGTCCAACTGATTCTAATGAAACACTCTGCATTTATTCCAAAATAAAGTAGTGTAGAATTGGTCATCTTTTTATTTAAAATACATTCTACTATTTATTGTAGGGGACAGGTGTTTTGTTTTTTTGGTTAGGGGTTTTATTGTTTGGTTTCTAGAAATTTCTGCTTAGGTTGAGTAGTATAATCCATATTTTCTTTTTTTCTAATCTGAGATCTTAAAATGAATTTCTCACTTGATCTGTTTTTTTTTATTTCTAGCCTGCAAGTCCAGGACAGCCTCCTTCACCACTTCTCAAACATTGTGCCTCAGTTCTTGAAACTGTAGTAAAAACAGTGCCAGGTCTCTTACAAGCTGTCTTTTTGATTGCAAAGGTGAAATATTTATCAGGTAATATATATGTGTAGCACAATACAAATGTTTTTATTTTTAAATTAATGCTCGCATGTTAAAAAGTAGGCAATACTAAGTCTTTGCAATGAAATGAAAATAGTTTGTCATATCTAAGTATTAGCTAATTTCTTATATTTTATCTTTTTATAAAAATACAAAAGTACATATTTTATTGGCCGTGTTTTTTCTATTACTGCAACTCCAGTTTGTTAAATGTACTTCTGGAAAGAGAGAAAAATAGCATTGAATTATACTAGAGGAACGCTCTTCAAGAGTTCAGGAAAACAGGTGTGGGAAAATGTAGCATTTTCATCCCTGCATTGTGGTTTTGATTTGAGTTCTTAACAGCAATAATTATAAATATTTAATAGCAACTTTATGAGCTCATTTGTAACTTGTTAAATTTTCATATTTATTAGCAGTATGCTTTGAAGTTTTAGAATGCAGATAAAATGGAAGATGGTTATCTGTAAAAATACTGGGATTGTACATTATTTTCTGTTTTTATTTTTGCTGTTCTTGTTTAAATATATTAGGGGATATTGAAGCAGCTCACAGCAGCTTACAGCATTGCCTTGAACAGAATCCTTCTTATGCTGAAGCTCATCTACTTATGGCCCAGGTTTTTTTGTCCCAAAACAATTTTAAACTCTGTTCTCAGTCTCTGGAACTTTGTCTGAGCTACAATTTTGAGGTGAGTTAGACGGAATAAAAACACTCTAGTCTTTTAGTCAGCTATGCAACATTCATAAGGTATCTTGAATAGGAAGGTGCATGCTTTTAATACTGAAACTCTTTCCCCAAGTATAGCATCTGTATATATTTGTCAGGTAAGTGACTTTAATTGCAAGTTTAATTGAACTGATGAGGTTCTTTTATATAAGGTATCAGAATTTTCTTGTAATATAAAGAAAGAAATAAGAAGGATTGTTTTCCCTTTTCTAATTCATATATTTAAAAGATCTAGAAAGAATTAATATTCTGATATGCTATGGTGTATTATATAAATAGGATTTGTAATCCTTAAGTGATTAATGAAACAAAGATGTTAAAACTTACATGAAATAATATGCAGGGTGGGCTAATAGGCTATTAATATTTTTCCTGTTCCCTGGGAAGCAAAACTGCCAAAATAAATATTGAAATCAGTGGGTGCTCTTCAGTGGTATTCCCCAATTTCACCTCTTGTAATAGGGCTCTGGAAAGCAAGGTGCTAAGAACATTCATAGTTTCATAGTTTCTAGGGTCAGAAGGGACCTGAGCAGATCATCTAGTCCGACCCTCTGCCATGGCAGGAAAGATTACTGGGGTCAAACGACCCCAGCAAGGTGCTCATCTAACCTCCTCTTAAAAACCCCCAGGGTAGGAGCCTGCACCACTTCTCTTGGAAGTTGGTTCCAGACCCTAGCCGCCCTGACC